CCCCCGCCCTGTCGTGTTCTCTTCCATTCCTGGGCTTCGCTCCCACCAAACCCGGCCCAAGAGGCCTGCGAAGGGGCTTTTTAAGGCCCTCGTGCGCCGACCGACCGAGCTTATAAGACCATACAGGTTCCGAGACGCGTTCCTGTCCCTGGGGTAGGGGCAGGACAGGGGCCGGTCGGACCTGGCTCTCGCGGCTCAGTTCTGTCCTAGCGCCTTGATTCGGTTTCCTAAGCGCCAATTTGATACCTTTCCAGTTTGCTTCAAAATCTTTATCTTTTCACGAGACTCAACCCCCCGAGCCTTAACCCTGGTACTTCCATTTCCACCTGAGATTCCCCACCTCATTCATTGTAGGAGGGAAAGGAATTGTCTTCCCACATGGAACACAGTTTCGCTATAAAAGTTGTATTATCCTCAGGTACCTCTACATGGCGTTAAGATTCCTGTGCTGAGCCATTTCCTTGAGCTAAATCACTCCTACAGTACTAGGCTGTCATAGGGACACCCTGGTGAAATTAAAATAGAGAAGTGGGTCCTGAAAATACTGGCCTTCACCCAGGCTTCTGAGGAATAAAACCTCCAAGGCCTGCTGCTTAGCCATTTTCCCACGTCTCTACCCAGGCTAGGAGGAGATGACATAGACTCTAAAGGGCCCCTTCTGAAGCTGAGACGATCTGAAATTATGAGTTTTGTGGGGCTTTTTCTTCTTTTGTTTGCTTTGAATACAGAGGAGGAGTGAGGCATAATCTGGATGGGGAGGATACTTAGATTCTGATAGGCTGAACTTTCTCTTACAGGGTCCTGGAAGATGAAAGAGACTATACAAGGGACTGGGTCTTGGGGGCCTGAGCCTCCCAGACCTGGAACAGCTTACTCAAGCCCCAGGCGGGAGCGTCTTCGTTGGCCCCCACCCCCTAAACCTCGACTGAAGTCAGGCGGAGGGTTTGGGCCAGATCCTGGGTCAGGGACCACAGTGCCAGCCAGACGTCTACCTGTTCCTCGGCCCTCTTTTGATGCCTCAGCTAGTGAAGAGGAGGAAGAAGAGGAGGATGAAGATGATGAAGATGAGGAAGAGGAAGTGGCAGCCTGGAGGCTGCCCCCCAGATGGGGTCAACTGGGAGCCTCCCAGCGGCCTCGCCCTCCTCGCCCCACTCATCGAAAAACCTGTTCACATCGCCGCCGCAGAGCCATGAGAGCCTTCCAGATGCTGCTCTACTCAAAAAGCACCTCGCTGACATTCCACTGGAAGCTTTGGGGGCGTCACCGGGGCCGACGGAGGAGCCTCACACATCCCAAGAACCATCTCTCACCCCAGGAAGGGGGTGCAATGCCACAGGTGCCATCCCCCTGCTGTCGTTTTGACTCCCCCAGGGGGCCACCCCCGCCCCGACTGGGTCTGCTAGGTGCTCTCATGGCTGAGGATGGGGTGAGAGGGTCTCCACCAGTGCCCTCTGGGCCCCCCATGGAGGAAGATGGACTGAGGTGGACTCCAAAGTCTCCTCTGGACCCTGACTCGGGTAAGGTGGGAAAGGAGCCAGGGTGGAGTGGGAAGGGCTAAGAGCCTGGAGCACCAGGAACCTCTTGGTGTGGTGACAAGCCTAAGGAAAGCAAGCTAAGAGGTTCAGAATAGCTGAGAAATGTCTTCATTAAGCCTCACTTCAAGCAGGAAATAAGCTAAGGAGACATAGCTGAGAAACATTCCCTAAGTAAACGGAGCTATGGCTTAGGAAAATCAGCCTTGTTCGCTTCAAATTCTTTTTCTAGGGCCAGCGGTTTAGCTCAGTGGTTCCCCTGCCTGCCTCACAAGCACAAGGTCCCAAGTTCGATCCCTGGTACCAAAAAAAAAAAAAAAAAAAATTTTTTTTTTATTTTTCAAGCTAAGAGCCCGTGTGTATGTGAGTGTGTGTGTGTGTGTGTGTGTGTGTGTGTGTGTGTGTCTGTCTGTCTGTCTGTCTGTCTCTCTGTCTCTGTCTGCAGAAGGTACTTTTCTCATGCTTCTGGGTTGGGCTATCCCCCTAAGGGAGTATATCATCCATATACTTGTCTGTGACAGTATTACTCAGAGAACTTTTTCCCTTCAGAGAACTCTAGTCATACAATTTAACATCTTTGTCAGTCAGGCACTTACTGAGGTTTTATCATATGCTAGGTACTAACAGGTGTTAGGCATATGTCCCTGAAATTTATGTCTTGTGTTTTCTTGCTTTTCTTTTGTAAATAGGAACCCATTTTTTTTTCCCCTTCAAAACCTCTTGGACATCTTGGTTTTGTGCTTTGGGGTTGCTATTCCTTAAAGTTTAAACTGATAGATTGTGCTTCAATCCATCCTTGTGGTTTTATCAGTTGTGTATACCAGTTAATCCTCTTGTTCTTTAACCAGGATCAATTTCTCATCCCTATTCTATTTCCCCTGCCTTATAGGTCTCCTCTCATGTACTCTGCCCAATGGCTTTGGAGGACCACCTGGGCCAGAAGGGGAGCGCAGCCTGGCACCCCCTGATGCCAGCATCCTCATCAGCAATGTGTGCAGCATTGGGGACCATGTGGCTCAGGAACTTTTTCAGGGCTCTGATTTGGGCACTGCAGAAGAAGAAGAGCGACCTGGGGAGAAAGCTGGTCAGCACAGCCCCCTGCGGGAAGAACATGTGACCTGTGTGCAGAGTAAGCCCTAGAGGACCCAGTTTTCCTTCTTTGGCCAATTCCTAGATGAGAGTCTCACTTCCCTCTCCTTCCTCCACTCAGGCATCTTGGATGAGTTCCTTCAGACTTATGGCAGCCTCATCCCTCTCAGCACTGATGAGGTAGTGGAGAAGTTGGAGGACATTTTCCAACAGGAGTTCTCTACTCCATCTAGGTGAGGCTTGAAGGATAGATGTCTTTCAAAGGAGGGCTGGAGTCTGAGGTATGGGGAGAGAATACTGTTCCTTTTTCTCTCATGGGGATATACTCACGGAGGAGGAAGCTAGAGTTGAAGGGGATGAATCTGCAAGTAAGGTGCGAAAGCCCTATAAACCACCTAGGAGTGTCTCTACGAAGGACCCTGAAATATGTATTCTTTTCTTTTTTTTTTTTTTTTTTTTTTTTTGGTACTGGGGATCAAACTCGGGTCCTTGCGCTTGTGAGGCAGGCAGCGGAACCACTGAGCCAAATCCCTGGCCCTGAAATATGTATTCATATGCCTCTTTCTAAGGGAGTGGGCCCTTACCAAGTCATCAAAAGAACCAGTGACAAGGTGGAAAAATCATTTTAGATTCTTACTCAAAGTAGTAATAGGTATTCTGGAAGGTATTTCTGTATGTTCCATGGTCTCTCATCATCTCTTATGTGGTTCCACCTTTGGTCTACTCAGGAAGGGCCTGGTACTACAGCTGATTCAGTCATACCAGCGGATGCCAGGCAATGCTATGGTGAGGGGCTTTCGAGTGTCTTATAAGCGGCATGTGCTGACAATGGATGACTTGGGGACCTTGTATGGACAGAACTGGCTCAATGACCAGGTGAGAAGAGGTAGAGAGACAGGCCTGAGAGGACATTCAGGGAGCAGGGTGTCTGGGGCCCTCTCCATGGAGAGCCCTGTACCCATGTCACACTCCCCATGGCAAGCTGCGTCTCATCTTCTTCCCAGGTGATGAACATGTATGGAGACCTGGTCATGGACACAGTCCCTGAAAAGGTAGGGCCAGCCAGATACTTCACTCTCCAGGAGAATTTCTGTAATTCTAAGCATCCTCTTCAACTTTTCCATTTTCTATAAAGAAGGTCTCTTTCTGGGGGAGGGATAGTAGGTGTTAATCTATTTCAAATCTTTAAGCTTGGTCTTGAATATATCTATTCTTTTCTACCAGTCTTTGGTGTTTTACCCTATGGCTAGCCCTAAGAATTGGGATGGGAACCTATCTATAAAAAAAAGGATAAAAACAGTAATTTTTTTGTTAGTGGGGGTTGTTGGAATCAGTCCTTAAGAGCCATATGAAATGGAGTGGACTGGGAGGTAGGCGGGGAAACCTGGCAGGAAGCTGTGAGGTCTTTTAATTCCATCCAGTTCTTGTGTGTCATTGGCACAGGTGCATTTCTTCAACAGTTTCTTCTATGATAAACTCCGTACCAAGGGTTATGATGGGGTGAAAAGGTGGACCAAAAATGTAAGTTGTGAATTCACATCTACTACCTTGGACCTAAAGAATTAGACTGTGGTTTTTTGTTTTGTTTTGTTTTTGGTACAGGGGATTGAACTTGGGACCTTGAGCTTTCGAGGCAATTGGCGGCACCACTGAGCTAAATCCCTGGCAGACTTTTGTTTTCTATGAGCCCTTTCCCCAACCCTGTTCAGTCTTCCAAATATTAAACATCTGTGTATGCTGGGCACTGTTTTAAACACTGAGGATAC